CATGGATTTTGAATTCTTCATTTCTTTTGTACTTTCTTTTTTTTCGAATTTAAATAAATAAATGTGTCTCCTTTATTCATTTCAATTGGTGATACTTTAAACATCTCATCCGAAAACAAATGTTATCTTTCTGAAAAGGGAGATGAGGGTATCCGTTAAAAAAATATATTTATATCAAGGTAACAATTAAAACAATGTGAAGTGAAAAACCATGTGAATAACTCTTCTTAACCTCCATCTTAGTGCTGCATATTGTGCTTGCCACAAACCTTACAGTTTGGCTTCATATGAATATTTCACTGTCAGCATATGCAGGCTTCTTATAGTGAGCAGGACGCTACCTGATAGAGCCTTGAATCAACTAGAGGTAAAAGAAAGGCGCCGAAACTCTGGATCACTCTAATCTCTCCACAAACGACAGTACAAGACATGCTGGTGTGAACAGCTAAGGGATTATCTCAGAACTCTGGGAGAGATCTTTCCAGAGAACCTTCATTACCCTACAAGTCTCCCAACCAATCCAATACATGCAATTCAAATATTCTGGTGTTTTGTACCATACCTGTTTCTAGCAATATGGCACTACAAGATCAGTAGTGACAGTCATGCTTCAAGATCATTCCACTTGAAGTGTTTTTGAATTTCACATTAAAATATATGCACTTAGTGCAATTATCTTACAACAACCAAACAATAGGGGTTATGGTACTACGCTATGTTATCCATTTTGTTTCTCCTAGATGTGCTGTATCTCCATTTGTTTTTCTATACTGAAGTAATCTTAGTAACAAAATACATAATGCTTCTAGATATAGATCGAGAACTGCATGGCAAATAAATAGATCTCTCAATTCTCCAGTGGTTGCTATACGTTTAAAGGCATGAAAGCAGAAATGAAGCCCCTCCAGGCCATATGTGACAGGCTATATACCTATACCTTTGTATCCTCATAGGTGCAATGAACCATGACAGCTTCAACAATTTTCACCTTTCTATTCCTACATCAGCTTCTTCTTACACTGCACTCCCCTGCTTATTCAATTGTTAGTCACCCTCATGCAAAAAAAACCATAGTAATTCTCTTATTTTGTCCAACCAATTTAAAAATAGTAAGCTGAACGTCTTGAACTTATTTTTAAATTATTCAAAAGAAATATGCTGTATTTTACACATCTATATTACTTTTAATTCATGACAGTTCACCTAACAGCGCTAACAGGATCTTATTCCAAAGAATTTTCTATAGATTGCATGCTAAAATACAATGCAAGGAATGGTATTTCAACTACATTACTTTATCCATTTCTTTTTTCACTGAAAAGTAAATATAAAGTGCTCCTGTTGTGCCCTGATAAATGCAATTCACATTAGTCTTCATAATAACCTAAATTGGGCCCTTGAAACTTTGATCTGAAAGGATGGGGACAATTTCTTCCCAAAAGTTTCTTGATATAGATATAAAAATCAGAACATTAAGGAAAATATATTTTAGTACAGAATAGTAAGAGTGCATTTGACCATACAATTGGTGACAATAAAATGTCTTAACATTTCAGGAAAATAAAATGCTAAAGCCACTCTTTTCAATCACCAGTTTTTCTAAGTAATAAATAGGCTATTTGTAGTCATTGATTCCTATCAAGTTTATATTTAAGTTTAATAGAAGCAGTATGTGATGTAATCAGATGTGAAGCTATATTACTTTTAAAATATTTTTTGTTATACAATGCAGTTTATTTATTGCTTTGCTTGGGGTATTCCTGTGTTATTGGAATATTTAAAAAAATATATAACCAGTCGTTTCTTTCAGTATATTTATTTTATTCTCCAAAACCTAACCAAAATGTATTCAAACGCTGTGTTTGCTTAGTTTAACATGTTACTGCTTTGACAATATTAAATTGCGAAGGGCTAAGGGGGATTTAATGGTTCGAAAAGATCTATCAATGGTATAATGATTTAATAATTTAATGACATGCATAAACATTTGTTAATGTGCTTTTAAAACTTCCAGTGGCCATAATACATTTTCTTGTATGTCTCCACTCCATTGAGTGTGCATTAATGTTAATACTGTCCCATGAGCAGAGAAAGGTCCGGTGCGTCCATAAGGCAGCATAAGAGGCGGCCTTAGGGCGCACCGGTCCAGGGGGCACTAGATTGGATGGACAGGCAAGAGGTGGGCCCACAGTGGTCCTTCCTGCCAGTCACTCTGTGTAGCATGGCCGAGCGGAGCAGTGCGCACCGCGGTACAGGAACTTCTGAGTCCTCTACTTGGCCAGACTAACAGGAAGTGTTCACTGACACTGAAGCTCCTGTACCACGGTGTGCACTGCTCCACTCAGCCTTGCTACAAGAAAGGTAAGAGACACACCGGGGACCGGGGGGGGAGGAGAGAGTGACGGGGACAGGGGGAAGGAACCCTATGGGATCGTGGGTGGGGTGAAGAACACTATGGGACAGGGGTGGGGGCAGAAAGAATGCTATGGGACGGGGGAACACTATGGGACAGGGGAGGAGGGTAAAAGAACACTATGGGACAGGCTGGGTGGTAGAAAGAACACTAAGGGATATGGGAGGGGAGAAAGAACACTATGGGACAGGGGAGGGGGTATAAAAAACACTATGGGGGAGGGGAGCAGTAAGGGACATGGAGGGAAGAGTGGCACACAGGGGGGCCTGAGGGGGGAGAAAGACACATAGAGGGACACGAGGGGGGAGAAAGGCACACAGATGGGCCTGGGGGTGAGAAAGATGTAGAGACGGGCTGAGGATGAAAGTGACACACAGAAGGGCCTGGGGGTGGAAATACAAAGTGGCAGGTGATTTATAGATGGGCTGATGGTGAAAGAGAAACACACAAAGGAGCTGGAAAGAGTAAAATAATCAAATGGGTTGGGAGAGAAGGAGACACACAGAAGGGCCGGGGGTAAGACACACAAATGGGGGTTGTAAGATATACACAAGGGAGGTGTAAGACACACAATGGGGAAAAATAGGGGATAAGATACACTAAAGGGGGCAAAGGGGATAAGAAACAAATATGGGGGGTGGACCAAAATCATCTTTGCCTATGTACCCAAAAATCCTTGCACCGCCCTTAGTAGAGATGTTGTATCCACTTGTTCTTTGACTGCAAGCCCCATGATGTATATTAACATAATCATCATTGTGTGTTCCTTGTAATACTCCTGTCTGCTGTGTTTTCTGTTGCTGAAGTGTCTCTCACATTGTATAGTGTTGACTGTGAGTTAGTGGATAGTAGGCGATGTGTTATGCCTCCATGAAAACATTTTCATTGCTTGTCAACTATATAATATACATAATTTATTTTGAAAAAATGGGTGAAACTTCAACTTCCTAAGTTTTAGTTCATGATGTATGGTGGCAACATTTTAACGTTAGAAAGCAGTTTTAGGTGTCTTCCCGTATAATTGTTTTAACCTATTGAGTATAAATGAAACTAGACACACATTTTAACCAATTTTCTCACAACATTTCATGGATTTTTGCTTACTTTCATTGCAAAATGAAATTTAGTCCATAAAACTCAACTTGCCTTCTCCTTTACTTCAACGCTGGTCTTCACTCTGCAGAGAAACAAAAATATCTCTGCATAGGTACGGTAATTGGAGCCTCAATTTTTCCTTCTACTCTTAACTTGTATAAAGACGATTTTAATTTCAAGTAGTAAAGAGATTAAATTAACTTTTTGTGCAATAAAATTGTTATAATCGTTTTGTTGGTAGAATTATGCTGTAAATGGAAGACTCGTGTGTTCTCTTTCAAATCAATTGCTATTCTTGTGAATTTTGGGTAATTATCGGTTCATCTGATTCCAAACTCCAAAATGCTATATGGACAAATCATGAAACAAATGGAACAGACAATGGACAAAACCATTTTGTTTATTTCATGATTCCATCCGTAGCACCAAAAAAATATGATTAATTTTCTCCAACAGTTCAAATGAGAAGTGATCAGTAGAGGGAAAACAAGAAGGTGCTGTAAAAAAATTATATATATGTATTTAATAAATATATAACATATAAATATAAAGTTTTTGTGCTCCTCCTCTTTTCCCCTCTATTACTACTCCACTCGAAAATGTGCCTTTTTATTTTAGAAATATGTTTATTTTGCAGAACACTCATGTTGGTTTGTCCTTACCATTTTTTTATTTTTTTGAATGAAATGATTGCTTGTACAAAATTTATCCAAAAGCAACATGGACGGCAAATCTCTTGAATACATTTGTTTGGCATGAATCAATTCAGACAAACCAAAGCTTAGTGGGCACTACTACTTGATATAACGCTTACTGAAAGACAACATACATTTCCTCTATACTCCCTACTCTATAGCTGCCCAAAACTTCCCGATGGCACTCCATATTTTTTTTGTTGCAAATGATATCCAGTAAGTTTAGTTCTGTTTTTAACATTTGACTTGCAAAGTTCCATGTGAAAAGTAGTTCAGGCTACAGATTTCGTTACATTCTTTAGATGAGTAAACCTCCTAAATATTTAGCAACACAATTCACAGTTTTATGAACAGAGCAGCGCAGTACAATATTGTTTGCAATTATGGCTTGGGTGTTTCTCACAGAGACTGTTAAGAGAAATAGGCATTTGAACAGTGTGTGCATGTGTGTGGTTATGCCATGCCAGGGCCGGTGCTAGGATTTTTGACTACACAGGCGAAGATGCATTTTGACGCCCCCCCCCCCAAAAAAAAATAAACAATGCATCTTCACCTCTGTGTCTCTTAGCCCCCTTTTGAATTTCTTACCCCCATTAGTGTTGCATATCCACTCTCTTGAATGTCTTACCCCGTTGGCCCCTTTGTGCCTTACACCCCCCTTTAGTGTGTCTCCTACAACCCCTCTTATGTATTTCTTACTTCCCCGCCAGCCCCTATCTATCTCTCTTTTTCTCCCACATAGACATAGATACAGGCTAAAATACATACATGCACAAATACACAAACATACAGACACACAACCATACAAGCACACAGACATAATTTTTCAGGCACACAGTCACAAAGATATACAGACACACAGTCATAAAAGGCACACAAACAAACACAGTCATACAATCTACACAGACATACATTCATACAGACACAGGCACTCACAGAAATACATACACAGACATAAAGAAACAGAGATAGGCATACAGAGACATACCTACACAGACAAACAAAGAACCCTGCACACTGACACCGTGCAAATGCTCCGGCCATCAACAGAGGTGGATGCTCCATGTCAGGCAGACATTGCTGGATCCACCAGTAAAGTCTTCAAAAGGAATAAACGCAGGCAACACTCCAACAGTAAGGATGGTATATTTATTGGTAGGTGAACCACCCCATAGAAAGTGTGATGTTTCAGCTCATGCAATAAGGCTCTGCTGAGCCGAAACGACGCACTTTCTTTGGGGTGGTTCACCTATCAATAAATATACCATCCTTACTATTGGAGTGTTGCCTGCGTTTATTCCTTTTGAATACATTTACACAGTCATACAGAGACATACATACTGTATGTCTCTGTATGACGGTCTGTGTATGTACACAGGATGGCTAAAAGATAGATCCCCATCTGTCGTGCAACTTCAACAATGCTTTGAAAGCTGGGGCTCTACCGATTCCCCATGCTTGCAGGATTGTATTTAGCATGGAGCAGTATTTGTGTGTTTGACTGTAAGCATGTGTTTGTATGGAGTATGTTTGTATGATTGTAGCGGTGTGTTTGTATGTAGTGTTTGCATTTGAATGCAAGCATGCATTTATGTGTAGTGTTGGTTTTTGAACGCAGGTGTGTGTTTATATATAATTTTGGTGTCTGATACAGAGGTGTGTTTGTATGTAGTGTTGACATTTGAATGCAGGGGTGTGTTTGTATGTAGTGTTGACGTTTGCATGCAGGTGGTTATTTGTGTGTAGTGTTGTGTTTGAATGCTGAGATATATGCACATATACACATACACTGCCACACACGCACACACTGTGATACACATACACACACACACACTGACAGACATAGATACACACAGACACACTGACCAACAGGTTCAGAAGGGGGGCTTACCTGGGATCCAAAGTGCTGCCTGAGGTAGTTGGGAGTTGGAGGAGCTGGTTCTGCCCAGCCCCCCTCCTCTCTGCCTTCTGCTGCTCTATTCTTCTTTGGAGGACTTCGTCCCATGCTGATTAGAAGGGGGCCTGTGGTAGCTCCGCCCCTGCTGGGCGCCAGCCGCACTGTGTGCTACAGAGGGAGCAGGGATATGACGTTCATATCCCCGCCCCCTCCACACAGTCCGCGGCACTGCTGCAGGTTGGCGCTCGGCCACGCTACAAGAAGTGACCGGCAGGAGAGGGGAGCTGTGCGCTTCCTTCCTGCCGGTCACCCGGACATTTGCGCCCCCGGGCCGGTGCGCCCTAAGGCGGCCGCCTGTGCCGCCTTATGGACGCGCCGGCCCTGTGCCATGCAAATATTTGGATGGGCAGAAGATATATGGTTTTCCACTCTGACCTCAGAAATAAATGGAGCACCCTTATACTAATGGAGACTTTTACAAATTGCTCCAAAGATTAGAAATTATTTGCAGGGTGATAGGGGCAAGGGGCCTCCTTGCACCATAGCTTCTGCAAGGAAGCATATGGCTTTATGATGCGTGGAGTGTAACTTTTCAAATAAATCACTGATATCATCAAAAGCAGCGCATGTGCACCTGATGGTAAGGTGTTATGATGAAACATAGGACATATCTAAGTTGCTATGCAATTTTGAGCCCCATGAGTTACAAGGAGAAATTCGAAGCAGATGGTCCAGGGCTGCAATATTTACACAGGGGAGTTTTGGTAACTAAAATTAAACCTAATACAATACTGAAGATTAATTTCTGAATTTTATGAGCATACTAATACAATTTACATTATTTTAAGTACAATAGTGCTATTAAGAGACACGCTTTAGAGTCTTAAATATTAATGCTTACACTTCAGTGCATCCAAAAAGTGGTGGTATTTGTTGTTGTCATTACTGTAATTTGTTCTAGGTCAAAGTACGTGTGGCACATCAGCAATGACATTTGGTGTTCACTAGATGACAACTTGGCATGAGAATCAATTTGCAAGGATTAGACCAGAGATCTCAAACTCTGGTCCCTCAATGTCTGGTCTACAACTCTAATCAAAGGCATACCTAAGGTATTTTGCTCACGGGGCACATTTGCACCCACCATCGACATTCTAATCACCATATGCACCGTAATGTATTGTAGTGGTTATGATACACAAAAGCTCTAGGTTCCAATTTGCCCACTTTTGCCCATTTTGCCCACCAACATTCTCTGTACATCTACCCCATTTTCATTCTTTCCACTCACAATACTCAAATTCCTTGTATGTCCACTTCCCCATTTTCTGTATGTACATTCTTTATTTTTCAGTCTGCCACCCCCTTTCTCTGTGTATTCCCTATTTTCAGTCTGTCCACCCACATTCTGTTTGTCTTCCCATCTACTTTAAGTCTGTTCTTCCCTTAATTTTGTCAGTCTATCTCCTCATACTCTGTATGTCCATCGTTTATTCTGTTTATCCATCTCACTCCTTTTCCAGTGTGTCTCTCCCACATTCTTTGTTTATCCTCCCTTATACTCTGTCTTTTCACCCCAACCCTCACATTCTCTCCCTCTACCCCTATTCTCTGTCTTTTCACTCCCCAACCTTTTCATTCTCTCTGTCCACCATCTATTTTCACTTTGCCTTCACTCCTGTCTGTCTTTTTCCAACCCACTATTCTCTTATGTTCGCCCGTGGATTGGCTCAGTGGTACGGAGCTAGAGGGTATCATGCTTCTCTACACAGTTTCTCATTCCAGCAAGCAGCAATGATCAGAGGGAGCAAGGATATGACTTTAATTTTGCACCCATCCATTTACTGCTTCCTGAGTGCATAAACTTCACTAACAGATTGAGCAGCGGACTGTAAATACCCACTGCTGCAATTCCACTTGACCGCTCTCTGTTTCAGCGGTGTGCAACCCTCTGCTTAATGTTTCCTGGGACATACTACTCTCCCACTCCTCCATCTCAATACACTAGTGACATCCATAATTCTTTAGTTGTCCATTAAATTCAAATAATTTGGGGATTTGTTGTACTGGGGAAGTGTCAGAGTTTTTAGACCAAAAATACAAGATTAGAAATATATTCCTAATAATAACTGAAATATACAATTTTATGGGTCCAATTTTTATAGCAGAGACTAATAATTAATAATTACTTCTTGTTAGTATATTAGCCCAAAGTGTTTACATTTTATGCAATTGACTATTTAGTTTTCTTACATTTTTAGCATGTGATATATTAACTACACATATGAGTGCTTTCGAGAATGTGTATGGTTGACATTTCCATATTCAGCCCACTGGGTATTTTTATGCAAGCTAAATACTGCAATGCATTTCCATATCAATGGAAAATATTCAGTAACTTTTAATGGAATAACTTGTCTGTCACCAAAAACATAACTGTGCAATAAAAGTGTATACCACGATCACTCTAGTCTCACTCGTCAAAGAACTGAACTGAGTGAAGATCCCAGTTCATGGGTTTCTTTTTACCTTCACTCCATTGTCTGTGCATTTGAAGGATAAAAACTGTACAAAAACCAAACAATGGCCCAGGCTCTTTCCACAACGACACTGGAGCTACAGAAATTGAAAGCAACATGTACTGGTGGGTCAGCAACCTCCCAGTTTACCTGGTCTGCATATTAGGGGTATTGGCCGGTATTAAACCCAATTACGGCTCCTTATCCACCATAAAATACTAATGAACAATGCATCAAAAGCCTTCTGGCCACAATAACCTGAAACAGAACTTGGTATAGCGATTGCCTTACTACTCTGGGAACATCTGTATCAGCAAACCGAAATGGAAAAAAGACAAATGGTGCGAGCATTGTTTATAACAGTGGTAAGCAAGGCATTAGAGGGGGTGTAATCCCAGTGGTGTATTCTAGTTTTGTGCTGCCCTAGGCCTGTCAAAACTCAGGCAATCCCTCTTACCCCCACCACCCCCACCTTCTCCCTTCTAAGTTTTACTTTCTGTTAAAAAACAACCCACTCTTTGCCTGACAGACACACGCCTTCACTGATGCATACACTGACATAATTTTGAGAGAGAGAAAACGTGATCTGTCCCAATAGTGCAGAAAGTATCGTAGGAATAAATTTAAAAAATTAACCTTTATTGGAATAATAAATTTAGGTGACAGCACCATTATTATATTCTGTTACTTTTAATCCCTTTGAACACATCCTAATTGTATCTTAAATCAGCTGCAAATTATTTATGAATAGTTGATTATTTCTCGCTCTGGTAACCAAGGATGCCATATGACTCAGGGATTTTTTACTTACAGTAATTAGGACGCTACTATTGACAGTTTAAAACTTTACAGACTTTTAGTTGCCCTCAAAGGCAAATTTTTCATAGGGCTTATTCAGCATATATTTGCACTCAGATTGGAGTGCTGCTCTCCCTACCTATATTCTCTATATTGTTCTATATGGCCTCCTAATCCCTATGCTGCCGTTCCTTTCTTTTTTTATTTACATTTACTTTTCTTTAACCCTATCACTGCTCCTCTTTCTTGCACTTTTGCTATATTCATTTTATCTTATATAGAGAAATACTGTTGCTGTACCAATTACTGGAGGAAGACACTGCCCATTGGTTTACTCAATATTTAGGCAACATTCCCCCTTTACCAAGGGTTCGTTATTTTTCAGTGTTCTGTTAACACGTGATAGTTAGTAGCTGTTCCCATTATTGTTACAGAGTGCTACACTTCTCTATTACTTCCTATTCAGGGACTCTGACACATTGTTACAATTTAGTGTTAACGACACATCATGCCAATCCACTCCCACCTTACCGTTGCTGGTCTGGCGAGTCAACCCTCCCACCACTCCCTCTAAGGTCGGCCCACTTTTATTACAGGCCTACTGCTTTGTCGGTTCCGGCACAACACAACCGACTGGTGCTAACTCATGGATGTTATGTTTATAATATGCTAAGATTTCTGTGTTCGGCCATATTGCCCTGACTATCAATTATGCGTAGTGGTCTTTGCCTGATTATCTTTACCACTGCGATTAGTGTATCGTATATAGCATTTTAGGCGAATCACTTTCAAATTCCTTTTCCCTTTCCCCTGATTTTTAGGTTAAACCTATTTTTTATTCTCATTCCAGTAAAGGTTATTTTTTTATTTATTCCTACGATACTTTCTGCACTATTGGGACAGATCCCGTTTTCTCTCTCTCAAAATTACTATTTTTCTCAAAGGTTACCCGCAAGTGACTCTCCTTGATTTTGTCGACACAGAATTAGCTTCCCACTTGTTTTTTCTATTATACACTGACATACACTCACTGACA